TGCAATCTGAAAAGCTATGTAATGTTTTAAAAAAATATAGAGGTGGGTCTGTAACAAAGATTTTCTGAGGCGTATACTGACAAATCAGTATTCATTAAGTAACACTGTTTGTGTAACCTCGGTATGCTGTCTGAGGAAGCTGTGCACGATTAATATTCCCTCAGTAATTACACAAAATGTCATTTGCTGTTAGAAATAAGAAAGAATTAAACCAGGTGGTTGTTTGAGTGGAAATTTGTATCGTCTTAATTAGGATATTTGTTTGTGCATCTTCACTAAGCATTCAGTTGTGAGGTGGATTGTCTTGAACAGATTTAGTTGTCCTCTTACCAGAAATGATGGTTGTGCTAGTTTCTGCAGTTTGTGAGCATTTGTGAAGTTAGAACTGAATTCTTCTGAAGTGAAGATGACAATTTAACATTAATGAATAAGAAAAAAACACGCGTAACATCAGTGGCTAAACAGAAAATGCCAGCTGGAGGCGTGGACGGATATTTATTGTGTTACACTAGATTTCAGCATGGTGACCTTTAAAGACAACGAAAATGCTATAATTGTGGATGTATTAGTGATTAAGATGATGGTATTCTAATTTATTTAATCCTTTCAGTGACTTGATAGCACCATGATTTGATTTGATCTTTAATTGTAACTACTTGTCCTTATTCATATTTTTTAAAAAAAACATCCATCCTTTAGGTTTACCAGCTTATTACTGAATGTCACAAACACACCTTTTAGAACAGGTTTCTGGAGGTCTGAATGTGCACGACACATGTGATGTTCTGTGAGCCAGCACAACCACCTTCAGTGTTGTTTTTTACAGTTAGCTCAGTGTTACATGCTCTTTCCTTGTATTTGTTTCCTCTATCCACTTTTCCTCTTGTCTGCTCCTCTCCCTTACTTATCTGTTCTTTCTTTCTCATGGCATGATTGATGACTGGGATGGCGGTCCTGGTAGTCTGTTTTTCTGCAGCTTTACTTGTTAGTTTAGTTTTCTTTCTTCAGGGCAGGGGTTTCTGGGTCCAAGACCCCATTGTTTCTCTGGCCCAAACCCATTTCACCTTGATTTTTTCTTTTTTTTTATGCTCTTTCTCTCTCCATTTAAATAAAAGAAGTCTTTTGGTCATGGAGATAAGTTGATGGCCGTAACAGCTGCTGTGTCCTGCTTCTACACGCTGAAAGTTTTTGCTACATTGTCAAGCTGGCAACCATTAAGGATTAGAAATGTATACTGCTCCACTATGACAATTAGTCAGTCCACCATTTGCGTTCTCGTAGAGTACTTAATGTAGCCATATAATTGTCAGCGCAAATGCGCGTAGGACCTTAATGGTGTGAGCATAAGTATGGAATTCTGAGATTCGAGACACAGTGTGTGTAATATGTACAAATAGGGATGCAGCTGTCTTCTGCGGGTTTTGCTGAAGTTTAAAAATGGCCAAATAACTTGCTGAACCCAATTAGCGCATGCTGTTCTTTATAAGGTCCGTGTCACGCTGCTTACACATCCTGCTGCCCTGCAGAGATGTCTTCCTTTTTGTGGTCGTGCTAGTGGCAGCCAGAGCACTCGTAAACCACACACGTGGCATGCTTCCTTGATTTGTTAGAAAAACAAAAGCAAACAAAAGAAAATCTTTTTTGCACTGCACACTAGAAAGAAAGCTGCTAAAACTAATTTGAGAATTGTAGATTGAGCCTTTTGATAGTTTTAATTATGTTGTTACAGACCTCTTTAATCTGTAATCTCAGCTTCACAATGATTATTTGCCAGCACTATTTGCAAGTCTCTTTGCCTCCTGCCTTGTTGGCTGCTAGCTACTGTATCTATCATCAGTGGTGCTGTCTCCTCC